GGCCCATGTAGTAAAGATGCATATTTACTGAATGCTTAAGTACTAAGTATCATGCTTTGTACTTGAATGCAATATTATTTACTCCCCACACAACATCATCACCACTGTTTATAGATGGAGAAAATGTGTCCCTAGTCACACACTAGTAAGAGAAAGGTCTGGATTTGACTCTGTGTGATCTGAAATCTCCTCTGCCCCTCTCTGTACCCTCAGTACACAGCTTGAGGAATACCTAGCTTTCAAGTCTGGGGTGTTTGGCACTCTGGGGTAATGACACTCATTGGTCCCCAAATCCTGATAAATCCCCCAATCCTAAGCAAGCTTGTCAGACTCCTACAGACAGATGCCTTGGGTAAACCTATATCATGGGTACACACAGAATTCTAAAATATCTTTGGTCATAGACAAAGGAAATTTATATTTCAAGATTATCTAAAAATTACATTTGGCTAGGCCCAGTGGTTCACACCTGTAATCCCAGCATTTTGGGAAGCTGAGGCAGGCAGATAGCTTGAGCCCAGGAGTTCCAGACCAGCCTGGGCAATATAGGAGACCTTGTCTCTATAAAAAAAATTTTTTTAATTAGCAAAGTATGGCACTGCACTCTTGTGATGCAGTGACTAAGGTTGGGGGTGGGGCAGGGACGAGGTGGGAGGATCACGTGAGCCCAGGAGGCTGAGGCTACAGTGAGCCATGATCGCACCACTGTACCGCAGCCGAAGCAACAGAGAGCCTATCTCAAAAGAAAATAACAAAAACTTAAAAATTTTCATTGAATGTCTGATTTCAAACTCCCACCCCTCCCTAATTTTCTCCCCAATTGCAAACAAAAGCCAAGTGGGCCAGTCCGAGCTCCTGGCTTCCATTTCTCCTGCCCACCCGGTGCTAGTGAGCAGTGGAATGGCCACCTAGCGGGTGGACCAGCAGAGGCCTCAGCTGTCCCAGGAGTGGATCACGGCCCCACATATGTCACAACACCACTGGCTTTGGCAGATGTGGCAGCGAGGCTGGCATGGCCCCAGCACCAAACGTGGCATGGCTGAGGTGCAGCAAGGAAGGCATTGTGCCCTTCTTCCCAAATGGAGTTCCAGGAAGGGGTCAGATGACCTGAGTTATGGAAACCAAATGGTCCTCCTTTGTTTAGAGAGAGAGAAAAAAAGTCACTCATTTTTGTGGTGAAGTGAAAACAGGCTCCAAACCAAATAATCCTCTCGGAGCAGAAAATGCCAGCTCCACACAGCAGGCCCGCAGCCTGGGAGGCTGATACACTCGGGTAGTGGAAGGTCTTCCACAGCCTCAGCAAAGCCTTCGCAGGCCTCTCACTGAGGTTCTCCGTTTTGCTCCAGAAATATTTGGTCTCCCAAGCAGAAAAGGAAAAGGAAAGGAGGGGGAAAATGAGAAATGTCTGCCTGGCCTGGGCCACACTCCTCCTCTCACTCCTGTGCAGTTGAGATGGAGGAAGGAGAGAGGAGTTGTCCCGAGGCAGCTGGAAGTGAGGCCAGACGCTAACCCAGGAGCAGGGCAGGCCAGCCTGGAGTCTCCCTGGCTGTGGCGCTGCAGTGTGCTGCCCCGGACGCTCTCCTGGGCGTGACCCAGCTCTTCCCGCAGAAGGCAGCTGGAGTCACAAGGCCTCCTGTGGCTGCTCTGTGGCTGCCCCGTGGCTCTGTGGGCTGGCTCTGTGGGCAGGGATCTGTACTCCCAGGTACTGCTAGTGCATGTGCAACAGGATAAGCCATGGTCACGAGGAAATAAACATAGGTTTGAGTCAGCCACGCCTGTCCTGGTTCAGTTTATTCTCTAATACAAGCCTTTCCTGAAATGGAGAATCCTTTAGTGAGGAAAGAGTAATGTACAGTTCATTTCTAGCCTTGGCTTTGCCTCTGTCCTGCTGTCGACCTTAGATCACTCATCTCTCTCAGCCTCCATTTTGCATCTGGAATATGAGCCTAAGGATTCCTGCCCTGCCTTAACTCACGAGGTTGTCATTAGAAGGAAACAAAGCCCAGCTTCTATCAAGGCGGATGCTTATAGCCTATTAGATAACCATGCAGACTCTGCAACCAGACTGCCTGGGTGCAGATCCAAGGCCCCATGGGTAACCGTGGGCAAGTCACTTAATCTCTCTATGTCCATTCCTCACCTTTAAAATGAAAGGAACAATACTCCTTTCTGATAGCTCTGCTTGAAGTTTAAATTTGACTAAGTGACATACAGGAAGTGCTTAGAGACTGCCTGCATGCAACATGCCCCGGCAAGTGTGGCTGTCATTGTAGATACTCCTTGACTTAAGATGGGGTTACATCCTGATAAATCCATCATAAGTTGAAAATATCATAAGTCAAAAATGCAGTTAATACGCCTAACCTCCCAAACATCATCACTTAGCCTCGCCTATGTTAAATATGTTCGGAACATGGACATTAGCCTATGGTTGGGCAAAATCATCTAATGCAAAGCCTATTTTATAATAAAGTGTTGACTATCTCATGTCATTTATTTAATATTGTACTGAAAGTGAAAAACAGAATGTCAGTATGGGTACTCACCATTAGTGTACACAACTGAAAGCACCTTCATAAAGTTGCAATATTTAAGTCGAACCATTGTTAAGTCGGGGACTGCCTGTATTATCATCACAGACAGGCTATCTTGAAAATAATAATATTCAGTTCAGACACTGCATGATCCTACACTGTCATCATAAACTTTGTAATTTTACTCAACACAGTGTGACCATTCCTGCAACATCCCGTAATCTGCCAACAGCTGATTCTAAGTATGGGGGTAACCTCCAGTAGTTCCCTGTTGTGTTTAGGAAAAATCTCCAAAGCTTCACCATGACCTATGTGGCTGTGGTCATCTGGCCCTGCTGCCTTTTTTAGCCTCATTTTGAGCCATTGTCTGTCTCACTTAGATTCAACAGCCTCATTGGTCCTCTTTTAGCTTTCAAAAGTTCTGGGGTCCTTCCTGCCCCAGGATCTTTGCAGTGCCTCCCTCTCTCCCACTCTACCCCCTCACCCAACCTCAGGTTTCTGCTTAAATGGTCTTTCCTCTGCCAGACGCAGTGGCTCACACCTGTAATCCCAACACTTTGGGAGGCAGAGGCTGGTGGATCACCTGAGGTCAGAAGTTCAAGACCAACCTGGCCAACATGGAGAAACCCCATCTCTACTAAAAATACAAAATTAGCCGGGCATGGTGGTACATGCTTGTAATCCCAGCTACTTGGGAGGCTGAGGCAGGAGAATCACTTGAACCCAGGAGGCAGAGGTTGCAGTGAGCTGAGATTATGCCATTGCACTCCAGCTTGGGCAACAAGAGCGAAACTCCATCTCAAAAATAAAAATTTTTTTAAAATTCTTTCCTCAAGGAAGCATTTCCTAACCTCCCAGATAATGACCAGCCCCCCTCCTTCTTCTCTGTGTGTTTATCACAATTATAATTACATAATAATTTCTGTAATTACTAGCATGTTGGCCCCTTGGACAAGGTACTCTATCTGTTTTGTTCATTGCAAGCCCTAGCACATTGCTTGGCACATGGTACACACTCAAAGAATTAATTTTTTTAATAATGTTAAATAACTGTCTCTCCTGCAGCTCCTATAAAATCCATGAAAGCAGAGACTGTGTTTCTCTTCTCAAAGCCTACATCTCTAGTATATAGTAGGTCTTCAATAAATATTTATTGGATGAATGAATAAACAAATGACCTGGAATAACCTCCCTAACTTTTCACCACTTGAAGATTTTCCTGTACATCTTCCTCCTCCTCTTGCCAGTAGGGTCATAGTGCTTAGCACTCACATGTGTCCTCTAACTCCCATCCCAGGCAGCTTCCTAATCTTCACTCAGGCAAGAGTTTAATGTCGGCTATATTCTGCAGTCACTTGTAGATACAAGAGACATCAATGTCACAACAAAAGCAGGATACTATGCTTTAATAATATATGTATTATTTTGTGTCCTCTAGTTATAGGAATTTGTAATCACAACCTGATTAATGACACAAATCTTATGCATCTTCATTTCACCTATAGGCCCTACCACAGCCTCTTTGTACAGCTCGTGTACCCGATAAAAGCTGAGGCTTGAAGGAATGACTTATATATTTTCTATAATGGAATGACTTTTATATACTTTGTTTAATAACTTCTCAGCCCTGCCTCTGGCCCCAGAAATGGATACAGTGAAGTTCTTAAAGAGCTTGAATTTAAGCCACTTGAATTTTTTCCTGGTCATCTATTAAAATGAGCAGAACTTCCCCACCCGAAAAGTCCCCCACTCTGATCCACCGTTCACAGCTACGTCTGCTAAGACCTCCAAAATCATCACTTCAGTTTTACTCAAAAACCCACCAGAGGGTTTTCTATAACTTAGAGAACTTTATCTAAATCCCTCAGGCTAACTCAGAGAACTTGGACCAAACTTTCTATATTATCTGTTCAAATCCTTCTTATATCCTACCTTGTGACATACATTTATATGCCCTGTCTTTCCTCATGCCATTTCTTCCACCAAGAATGTCTCTTCCCCATCTCCGCACAAAAGTACAGCTCATTTTTTGTGCTTTGCTATGACCTGACTATGACACTCATGTAAAGGAAGCTCCCTGTCTTATGAAATCCAATGACATTTTGGTGAAGTCATTTGTCAGTACACTTTTTCCACAAATATGGCTTCTCTCTCAAACTAGCCTTAAACATGGAGCTCCTGAGGACCACTCTAATATTTTGTTTCCCCTCAGTGATTCCTGCTCTGTCTAGGAGTTCACTCATTATTTTCTCACCAGCTGACTCAACTGCACATACCACAATTCAGGCAGGAGCACTTGAATTCACTGCTAATGGGTTTTACAGCTCAAGAGTTTTTAAGCTCAAGAAGATTGATTTTTGTTTTTCTGGTATTTCCCTGGACTTGGTTGATGTTCTCTAGAAGTCACTGAACTTGAAATTATAAACTTGCCTCCCTCTTCTTAATCCAGTGATTTCCTTTTTACAGATGAGAAGCCCTTTGCTGTGGAAGATACTCATTTACTGTGTCCAGCACCTATCTTAAAAGAAGTTGGCATGTAAGTTTTCACCAGCTACTGAACCTTCCAGCCAGGGAGGAGAGAGGAGGCAGAGGGGGACAGGGGAAAGGAAAGTATCTAGAGAAAGTGGAGCCTTTCTCTAGTTTCTCCAGCTAATTATGGAGCCAATGTTTACAGTGAGCCATACACCAGGATAAGTGTTTTACAAAGTATCTCACTTCTTTCTCCCAGGTTCTCCATGAACCAGGTATTCCCACTATCCCAATTTTACAGATGTAGAGACTGTGGCTGCAAGACTTTAAAAACTTGCCTAAGGTCACACAGCAGTGAGTAGAAGAGTCTGGGCTCAATCTGAGGTCTGTCTGGCTTAATCACACCTACACTTCTAGAAAGTTCTCACACACTTGACCTCGCTCCGTCATCACCATTGCTCTGCTAGATGATTGTTATCTCCTCCTTAGAGAAAGAGAGGCTCAAAAAGGCCAAGCAGGGCCATGGCTGGTTCATGACAAACCAAGACCCCAGACTCATGCCTTCTGACATCCCACACAGTGCTCCTTCCTCGACGCTGCACAGCATCAGATGTTCACCCAGACCGGAAAACGTTCCCTGAACTAATTTATGGGGGAAAATCTCATGGTGGTGCAATTATAATAAGCACTAATGAAATGAGATCAAAACCATCAACAGAAGAAAGCAAATGAACACCCTGAGCAAGAAAAGAGATATGTGGGAAATGAGGCAATACTGGTGCAGAGAACCACAAAAAATAATAATAATAATAACCTCTCCAAAATTGTGCCTATAACAGGCTAGGCACAGAATAGAGGGTTTAAAGGGAAACTGTTAAAG